TACCCGTTCTTGATCAAGTTGTTTTGTCTTCAAAAAATCTGTTGCTTCTAAGACATATTATCCAGAATCATATAATGGCTTGATAACTTATGATGCGCGACTTTCCGAGAGTTCTTAGTCGTTTCCAATGCTTTAACCTTTATTTTGATACAGCTTTTTTAATCTAACTTTTCAATTAATGGTTCAATCCCATACAGTTGAGGTTTTGCTGCAAATCATGGGAGTCTTGTACCAACTTCATTCATTTGCTCTATGCTTGCTTCCTCATGTTTGCTGTTAGCAGAAATGGTGATCGAGAAAATTTTCACGAGAATATTGTGACTTTGATGTGGCAGTTTCACTGTCAGAGGTATTGGAGGTGTTTTTATCGAAGGGTATGGTAGAATAATATTTGAGTATGGTTATCGATTTTTTTGAATCTTTTTTATTGGGAATGCGTCTTTGGACTGTGAGTTAAGGCGGACTTGATAACCAACCTGTGTTTCTAAAAGATGTTCAACTGTAATAGGTTTTAGAGAAGGTGGATAATGGTAGTTTAAATTGGTGTTTTTATTTTTTAAAACTCTTTAACCACACAAGTTTTTGTGAATCAAAGTTTATTCTGGAATAGTTCAAGGATTTAAGTTTATTCTTCAACAGACAAAATTCAGGAGTTCGCATTGGTGAGATGTTAGATGGACGTTACCGAGTTTATGGATATACTGGTGCAGGAGTTTTTGGAAATGTGGTGAGAGCTACGGATGCAGCTAGGAGCAATACCCACGTTGCTGTTAAAATCATCCGCAATAATGATGTGATGTAAGTGCGCATTTTGCATGTTCTTTGGATCGTATCTGTTTTAAAATAATGTTTGGTATCCGGTGAAATGTTTCTATCTACTATGTTCAGTTTCTTGTGGGAAGAACTATGTAGAAATAGTATTTTTTTCTTTTAAGGAAAAAGACTGGAATGAAAGAACTGGAAATATTAAAAAAATTGAACGAGGCTGATAGGGATGATCGGTACCATTGTTTACAGCTTTACCGTCACTTCTCTCACCACCAGCATCTTTGTTTGGTGTTTGAGTCTCTGAAGTGAGTTTTTGGTCATTTCTCTTCTTAAATAGCAAAGGACTGCTCGTATTTGCTTGTAGGATTTTGTGTGCTGCTAATTTCTTGCTTCAAATTTATTTCGCAGTTCTTCTGACAGTCCTTATCTTTTGAATTTCTTTATTTTTCAAGCATAAATTTGCGCGAACTGCTCAAGAAGTATGGGAACAACGTTGGACTTCATATGAAGGCGGTGCGTAGTTATACCCAGCAGTTGCTGCTTGCCTTGAGGTTGATGAAGAAATGCAGTATTCTGCATGCTGATATAAAACCCGACAATATATTGGTACGTGACTCGTTTTTTTTTTCTTTTTTGTTTATTTATTTGCCTCAATTCTTGCACGGGCTGTTTTCAGGTCAATGAGTCGAAATTAACCTTGAAGCTTTGTGATTTTGGTTCAGCTTGTCATGTTGCAGAGACTGAAGTGGCTCCTTACCTTGTTTCTCGATTTTACCGGGCTCCAGAAATAAGTACTTTATTTTTATTTTTCATTTTGTCTGCCTTGTTTTATCTTCCTTTCGTAGAAGTTGGTCAAGTCCTGCAAAAGTTTTTTGAGTGACATTGGGGTTTTTGAATTTCTTCATATTCTTAGTAGGTCTTGCTGTGCACCCACTCTTATTTTGTTGGCCGCTAAAGTTTGTTTTGTCCAGTACCTCTTCATTTTGATCGTTTAGTATTGAGTCGTTCCTTACAGTGCTCGGTCTACCTTATGATTTTGGAATTGATCTCTGGTCAGTGGCCGTTACTTTATACGAGGTATATACGGGTAAAATTATGTTTGCTGGTCGTTCAAATAATCAAATGTTAAAATATATGATGGATTTGAAAGGCAAGTTTCCGAACAAGATTGTAAGGAAGGCTCAGTTCAGAGATCAGCATTTTGATTCCAACTGCAACTTCCTTTATCATGAAGTCGACAAAGTAACACAAAGGGATAAGGTGAGTGTCTTTAAGCACCCAATCAAATTAAAATTTTTTTTCTTGTTTTCTGTGTAAGGCGTTCTCACTTCAGTATGCTTTATGACCTTTGATGTCAACTTCAGTTAAAAACTCTGCCTCAAAAAATTCCTTTTTCACTGGGGTTTTTTTTTTGAGACTTCATTTTGTCGAATTTAATGCTGACTGTTTCAGATTACAACCCTTTCAGTAGTTAAAATAGCTCGCGACTTGAGGGCTGAATTGCTGGGTGAACAAGAACTAGACAAGGTGATTTTTTGCGTCCTGCTGTCTGTATTTATTGCTAATTATCACCCCATTTTATATACCTCAGTGATTTCTAGGATGGGATGAGAAAGCTGGAGCAGTTCCGTTCTTTATTAGATGCCATGACGGTACTGGACAGTTCTAAAAGAATAAGTTGTAATGAAGCGTTGAAACATCCATTTGTTGTGGAAAAGTGATAAAAATATTTGATTTCGTTGTGTTATCGTTTAGCTCTGAAGTTAACATTTTAGTAGAGGCTGTTGTAACGTGAAATTTGAGAGTCGGTATCTTTTGTCTAAGTTTTTCTGAAGTGATTTTACCGTCTCTTTGTCGGACTGAACCTCAGATTGATCTGAACATGTGATTTTGTCTTTTAGCTGTTGCATACCCGATTGTTAAAATTGAGTTTTCTGTTTCTACAAACTTACGGAGACGCCTTTTTAGACTAGAAACTATCTTGCTACAAGTCATTCTTTTGTTTATTTTTATGTTTACTTATAACCTTCAGGAACTAAAAAAGTGTGAACAGTTGGTCTGAAAACTGGTTCCAGATTTCACCATTGTTGTTTAGTGTGAAAACAATGAGAGGTTTAACCCAGACAGTTTCTGAGTGTACTACATATTGGACATGAAGAAGACGGCTTGTTGGTTGGGGGAGTTTTCTCGTGACCTCCTCTGCCTAATGACTAGAGTGTTAAAAGGAGATAAGGCATGACGCTTCCTTTCTCATCATATGCGCAGCCCAGTGGGTTGAGTTTAGGGCTGACATGGGTAGTGGAGGAGTAGGGAGCGTACTCGATACTTTTCAGTACTTAAGCAGAACGTTTTGTTCACTGTCCGCTCAGCCGCTGCTCCCTGCAATTTATCGGCCGAGCTGACTCAGCGAGATGAACTTAAAACTTCAGGATTTGCGTTGCAAAATTTTATTTACATTTCGTCATGCACGCTAAGTTGCACACGGATTTATTCTATACTTGGTACCACAACTAAGACCTTGACGGGACAATCAGCAATTGTAATGGTTGATATTTTTATCCTCGCCTTTCGTGGCATGAGGATTGAAAAAGCGTTGACCGCAATAACCACAAGCGTGGTTCCCGGGTTTATCCTGCAAAAGTCCTCTTAGGATAGAATAGCGAGACATTGAAAAAGTTTGGTTAGCCAATTCAAGAACGCAGGAATTTTGTTGCATATTCTGAGTACCTTCAATATATCTTACTAGGTTTATGTAAACTCGGGGATGGCCTAATGCACCATGGCCGCCTTCGCAGAAGGCGATTCGCTCTTTCCATTCAACAGGTGGCTCTTCAGCAACCAGTTCTTGAGCGATGTTTGGGTTTACCAGTTTCTTTGAAAATTCAAACCTCTGTAGTCGGTAATCAGATTCATCCCACGCCTAAATCATTAACATTACTGGAATATGATTTACACTTACTAGAAAAGAATCGGATTATTGAAATTATTATTCGGTTTACACCCACACATATTCCATAACAACCAGTCTGCTTCTACGGGTTACTGCAAATACTGAATACTAGGAAGGCGTGTTGTCACGTACTTTTCTTTAAGACTCTTACTTAAGCCCCTAATGAAACTCAGGTAAATACAGAATTTTGAAACTCTTTTGTCCTAAACTGACAAAGAAACAAGTCCTGAACATATTTTTAATAGCTGCAAACTATTATTCAGATTTTTAAAGAAGGTTTCTGACCTGCTAGCAAAAAACTCAAAGTAGAAAAATTGTAACGTTATCTTGCCAATTATTCTCAACTATACAAGTCCCAAACAAGTAAGTCTGTTCAGTCATGTGCCACTGAGCGCCGTCTGCATTTCTAAATATTATGTTCCGCGTGAAGTAGTATTCGGATTAGCCAAAAGGGGGTTTATCAACACAACCGCAGAAATAGTACGACAAGAATTTAAAATAGTAGCTACAATAGTAAATAAAAACTAAAAACAGAGAGAGAGCCCTTTTATAGGCCTATAACAGACACAGATCAGACGTACTTGCTGAAACCCAAGAGGTCTCATTTGTGTTAATGCAAACATAGTGATCTCTCGACACAGCATATTAACTATGACAGCATTATGATATTAAAGTTTTCCACTTCTCAGCAAGGATTGTAAAATGAAAGAAAAGTTACTTAGCAAAACTTATAAAAATGAACTAAACAGAACCTGTCCAGTATGCGTCACTTTGTCAAAAACGGCATTGCTTTGACGGACTTCTGTTACTGCAGGAACGGTCGACTTCCCTCTCGTTCGACCCAACAGAAAATATGAAGAGAATCGGCAGTTCAACAGTTTGTTCATCTGGAAATCCGGCAGGTTAACGAAAACTACGAATCAGTAAGTAACTGCGAATTAATGAAGAATATTAAATTCACCTGCTTCAAGGTTTTCAACAGCAAGCCTTATTATCCTCTACAGAAACAGTAGGTAATGGTCAATAATGATCACACTTCACTGCCACTAAGACCTGCGCATATAATAAAGAGCTAAGAAAAAAATATACACGTTTATTAGTGAAGTTGCCCTTCAAGATATACCATCACCTGGTATTACCTCACCATCGCTGCGAAACTTCCATCAAAGAAAAAAAAGAAAACATTTTTGCGTTATGAGCTTAAATCACTGACAAATAAATAGTTAGAATAACTCCAAGTCCATTAACTGTTAAAAAACAACAAATATTGCAAAAAAGCGCAGTTTTTTCCACAAAAAAACTGGCAGCCCATCTTTTTACGACTTAATGTTAAATCGAAGTAACATATTAGCAGGACGGATCTTCAAGAAACCAATGAATTGCACATAAATAAAACAGAAACTGTTGGCAATACGCCAAAATCAGTTTCACTTTTTTTCTCTGCAAACATATTTTCTCAGATACAGTTGAGTTCGTTTTTGCTCCGGTATCTAAATGTGCTTCTGGTTGCATAAGTCTTTCAGTTAACTGGTTTTTATTAGGACCCACCTTAATGCAATAAACCAACAAGGAAATATAATGTTGGAAATCACAAGCCGACGTTACTACGATAAGAAACTAAGACAAATTTATTTATAGCCCGCGATCCGTGGAAGAAAAAGCTGCTTACGATGGGTTACCAACCGCCAGTGCCATCAGCTTTCGTATCCAGTGTTGTGGGTTTGTCCCTGAATACTGTTAGGGGGTACTGTTACAGTTTCAGCCGACAGTCACAATTGGACTGCGAAGGCAGAGCCTGCCAGCGTGCACTGTGCCGACAGCGTCACTGACGCGGAGAGAGGAGTGGATAGCCTACGCCGAGAACTTTAATTCAGTTGTCTTCAACAGTATCAGGCAGATTATTAATCTGTTCCACTGTGCTAGCCGGTCAGTAGTTGTTGAAGAACTGAAGGTGCTCCTAAATCAGCTGTTCCTCCACCATAACCAGTGGCCGGAAAACGGAATATCTACAACAGGCCTTACGAAATTACTACTCGGATAAGGGTACAAGTATTTTCATGTATAATTGAAAAACTAATAGTTGCTAGATGTAAAAATCTTCAGCTTATTTAAAATCATTTAAAAATTTTAGAAAAAAACGAGATTAATGTACTATTCAGGTACCTAATGATCGAACGCGGCCTGGTGCCGATGGAGTCGGAACGTATCCGCCGCCTGCGGACACGTTATATAGGCCGTATAAGACAGTCCAGAGCAGAAAACAAGATCATTCCGTTCACGAACGAAACATGGATCTAGTGTAACAAGGGCCACCGAAGGGATTGGATTTGTTCACAAGACTTCAGCGACCCTTTCTCTGATGAAATGCCCCACCGCCTCGAAGTTCCCGCGGAAGGAGGCTCATCGTGTTACATTGCCTTTCTTCGCAAGGCCTGTTGGATGGAGCTGAAGAAATCATTGTATCGGAACAGCGAAACGAAGATGGAGACTATTATCAGGAAGTGAGCTTCAACTTGTATAAAACCTGGCTCTCCAAGCTGGTCGATAACTTTCAGAAGTCATTTGACAGCAACAGGGTGGTCCTGGTGATTGACAACGCTCCGTACCACTCAAAGAAACTGGATTGGATCTCCATCTCAGCGGATACGAAGGAAAAGTTGATGATGTTCCTGCAGCAACATGCGCTACCGTAAGACACCTCGTGGAGGAAGATGACGTTGCGGGCCATTCAGCAGCATACTGTTGGGAGAGAAGAGCTGTTCCAGACCTACGTGGTCGACAAGATCGTGCTGAAAGGAGGGACTGAAATCCTTTAACCACTCTCTTTCCATTGTCAGTTTTTGCCTATAGAGCTCTTCTGGGGTGGGCTGAAGTAAGAAATCGCGAAGAAGGCGTACCCCAAAATTAAAGCCGAGGAGCTACAATACTTTACACTGCAAGTAAGTAGTAAGTTCATGGTATAAGAAAGGAAGAACAACGAACAAAAATCGGTTATGAATAATTCTTTTTCAGATGATTAAGGAAATCCCCAAAGATGCTCCGTCGCATTGGTTCGATCACTGCATCGAAATCGAGGACTTTACGTACGCTCGCGACAGCAGGGCTCCTTAACCTGCTGCTTTCGTGGAAGTCGCATGTCACCTTCCAGGCGACAGCAACAACGGGCATCTAGCACAGAAGACGACAACGAGTGAAGCACCGTCAGATAGACTTTTGTATTTGTAAATAATTTCAGTGTAAATAGTGACGAATTTTTTACAATAAGTTAGAAATGAACTCGCTGATATTTTTATCTATATATTTAGTTATTTGTTCTTCCTATTTAGGTTTTCCTATTTGCTTAATTCTTCATTCCACCCTCGGTACTATCCTTCTGAATAATAATAGAACTCTTCTAAATCTATACTATTTGCTGGGAACATTCTCGCGTAGGTATTCCATACGCTAGATCGTTTGAAAACGTTGTAGTTGCGAATAATTACTACACCCTCTTTGGCTCTTGACAGCGCCACGGTCGTCGTTCTGGGATCTAACACAAAAGCACGGTTCTTTGAATCCTTAGTAAACTCGCATTCATTTCTAATTTTATGCCCAAAAATTTTTGCGGCAGGACCTGGATTACGGTAGTGCGGCGGACCCGGCGACCTGTAAAAATGCTAGTTTGCGTTAAAATTAAGGCGTATTTACTTGTCTAGTATCGGGAGTTTTGCGGAGATTTTGACATATTTCTGTTCGGCATATTCACGGCTACAAAATGGTTGCTTGCTAAGCTTCAATGATTCTTGAAGCCACTGTTGAGATATTTGCTGAGATGTGAAGTGATGGCTGATTTTGTCTATTAATACGTGTATTGCTTTACTTGCGTGGGAACTGTACTTTTTTTTCTTTTTCTGGATTCTGCCAGGTATGCCCTTATGTTTTTTGGAAAAGTTCGGGACCTATCTGGGTTTTGTATTAGACCAGTTAAAAGGAGGGATAGACTTTTTTTTGCTGTGAATGACTCTTTTTACCGCTTAGAATTTTTTTAGCGATAAGTATTTTTGATGACTTCAATAGAACTATGTTTATAGTATTTGTCGCTAAAAG